TTCGTTATTGTTTCGGAAATCGATTCGTTAATTTTTTACCATTTACGAAATTTCGTAAATATCGAACTTTTTAAAAGGAAAATTTTGTAATTATTTTAAATATCGAAACAAAAAAAACCCAAATACAAATCGATTTTAGAAACAAATTTTTCCGTTGTTACCCTGGCCTAGTATCCACCCAAACTAGAATTACCAGAACTAGCGTACAGCCAGTAACATGTGGAAAGTTACTGGAATACTGTGTGATATTAGGAATTGTTTTTAGCAGGGTTTATTTTAACTTGTTCTAATAACTGTAATATTTGGTTCTATTGTAATATTTATATTTTTAGGTTTTTATAGTGCATGGTTTTTAAAATTATAGCCACTTTGGGTAACAGATCTGGGGAGAAAGCAGGACACAAATTATTTTTGTTGTTGTTGTTGTTGTTTCCAGGATGGAAGGAGGCGGAATCCTTATAGGTGAATACTATTTTAATTTTGCCCCCCACCCACCCCACCCCTGCAATTTTGACTAACCTGTAAAAGCAAAAGGACCTATTTCAAAATATTGAAAGTTAAATAGGTTGCTGTGTATGTGTCAGTGGTTGCAATATCCCAGTCATTTGTCTACCTAATTTCCAGTAGCCTACCTGCTAACCTATTTGTTTCTGTCCTATGTGATGGGGTTAGGAGGGAAAGTGTCATAGAGACACTTGCTTCTGCCTGCCTTCTTTGAACCGCTCATCCTTTTTCAATCTCAGACTCCCTGAGTAGTCAGTTAAGTCTGAAGACAACTTTTTATTTTATTAAACTCCAGAGAACAATGAAGACATTTCCATGATTTCTTCTTTGACAGCTTCAGAAAACTTGTTCATTGTTGGAAGAAATGTATCCAATTGTCTGGTGATTATGTGGAAAAGTGAATAGTGAATAGTGGTTGTTAAAGAGCACATTCTAAGGATTATTTCTGCGTTTGATGTATTAAAATATTCCTATCCAAACCCAAATAATGAAGGTGGAGGCATTACTTTTCATTGAACCCTCATAGGCCTCCTCACTGCAGAGCTCTCTAGCAACAAGGAAATCAATGGAGTAGAATTTCCCACTACAGTCTTCTGTGGCGACTATATATACATATAAGCAAATACAATACTGCGATGCATGAAGCCCCAGCAAAGCAACCTCATGGTGACAAGGAAACCGGGAAGGGCAAAGGGGCAGAGGAGAGCGACAAAAGGGAGAGTGCTCGCTCAACATTGGACCTCAGGCATCCTGACCCAGGTGTCCCAGGCTTTTTTAAAACCTGAAAAATTTCCAGGAGGGTGTTGAATTTGTAACACACACACACACACACACGGCTACAGGCTTGTCTATAAACAAAATTACCAATAAAAATACAGTTATAGTATCTACTGGAGGGTAAGTTGCTGCGTGTCTTCAAGATGTTTTTAACTTATGTGATCCTATCACAGGTTTTTCTGGGGCTTTTTTGTCATGTCAGGAGCGACTTGAGAAACTGCAAGCCGCTTTTGGTGTGAGAGAATTGGCCGTCTGCAAGGATGTTGCCTAGGGGACACCCGGATGTTTGATGTTTTTACCATCCTTGTGGGAAGCTTCTCTCATGTCCCTGCATGGGGAGCTGGAGATGACAGAGGGAGCTCAACCCCTCTCCACAAATTCAAATCGCGAACCTGTAGGCAATCCTACCGGCACAAGGGTTTAACCCATTGCACCACCGGGGGCTTCCTTCTGGGGCTGAGAGTATGTGACTCATCCAAAGTCAGTCAATGGGTTTCCATGGTTCTTACTGAGCATGCATGAACAGCAAAGAGAGCAGGACAAAGCGGGTAAGATCTAGAAGTTTGACCACCTGAATACGATCCAGTTGCTTTGTTAATTATGTTCACAGTGTTCGTTTTGGATAAACAGTTCAGGGAAAAATGTGAACTTGTGTTTTCCTAGTGTAACAACTATGACAATACTTTACAATTGAATGCAATATTCCTGCTTCTTGGCAGGCGGTTGGACTGGATGACCCATGAGGTCTCTTCCAACTCTTTTGATTCTATGATTCTTTTTATGTAACAGTGCAATATTAAGGTCTAGCAGAGGCATGGGCAAACTTTGGCCTTCCAGGAGTTTTGGATTTCAACTCCCACCATTCCTAACAGCCTCAGGGTCTTTCCTTTTCCCCCTTAGCTGCTTAAGTGGGGGGCGGGGGGAAAGGAAAAGGAAGAGACCTGAGGCTGTTAGGAATGGTGGGAGTTGAAGTCCAAAACACCTGGAGGACGCAAGTTTGCCTATGCATGACGTAGCAAAACAATTGATTTCAGGACTCCAGTTTGTGTTACCTTTGCCAATCAAGATGTTTTGAGATAAATTCAATTGTACACCCATTGAACAAATGAGACTTGTGAAACTAACATTTATGTAAATATCACAAATGTAATTGGTCTAATTACAACAAACAACTGGATTTACATATTCAGCACTGTTTTCAAAATAAAATTACAGAACTACCACCTTTCCAAACTATACATTTTAATCTGGCTTGACTGTGTTGGGTTTTTTTTGGGGGGGGGGGGGGCTTTAAATGTGAGATTTTATTTTATTTCAAACTCTTACTTTTATACTACCCTTTTATCAACTTTTCTATTTTATTGTTTTCATTGCCCATAGACAACTTATTCTACAATGAATTCTGGAAAAAGTTCTTTGAATGGTGGAGTGTAAATACTAAATTAAAACGCAACTAATCCAGGATTTTGTGGGGCATATTTACACTTGGGGATGTACTGTCAAATAATCTTTGAAAAGGCAATTTTCCAATAGCTGTGATTGTTTCATCGACATTGGGGAGGGACCTTATGATGCTCCAGATGTTAAACCGCAAACCACAATAATCCTAGCCAATGAAAGATTACTGGAAATTGCAGTCTTTTTTATTTTCATTGTCTTTGAGACAGTGGTAATATATCCAAATTTGGTTTTTTGAATATCCAAGAAACCAGTTCTGGAGCTAAAGCTCAACAATTACTTTAAAGTTCTGGTCGAAACCCACAATATATTCTCCATCTCAAATAAGATCATGGTTATATTTGTTTTTATTTCATTTTCATTTCAGACTCAACAAAATTGAATGATTGCAAAATTATTTGCATTCTCATATGTATATGCATGTGAAAAGACAAAAAAAGGACAGCTCACTTCCTGGGACAAATTGAAGGCTGTGACATTCTGAGTTCATATGGAAGGCCACTGGTTGTGCCAGCTTCCTGGTCAAGATTGCACCTTTGTGGTTCCTAAAACATGTGTGCTTGTCTGGCATAATTTTGCCCATTTATTGCAGAAATATACTGTAGGTCTGCAGGACTGGCTGGTAATGTTAACATAGTATGTTCTGCCAATTGCAGTTCTCATAAAAGTGATAATCTGCTTTAATTACAGATATCTCATATATATGTATATACATATAAAATGTGTGTGTGTGCAAGAGCCATTATGATGTAGTGTGTTGGATTTAGAGACACTTGAAACCACAGCAAATCCTCTCACAGCAATTGAAACTCCAGAGTATTCATGGAGCAATCACTTTCAGCCTCGTAAAAAACCCTCCTCTGAACAAACCTCAGAGTGCCTAATAAGGTCACTATTGGGTCACAATAAGCTAGAAATGACTTGGAAAGCAGACAAATGAAATTAGATTATTTGCAGTCAAGCCACTTGCATGCAATTTTTGATTAAGGGAATTATCTTTTGCCCACCTTTTCTAGGTTTCCTATTATCCACCCTGCTGTAATCTTCTAAATATGAAATGTGGGGCCTGTCACTGTGGGGATGTATCATTGCAAGCTGTTTCTATTGTGCAAAGTATTTTAAGGTGCTCAATTTTGAAAGAGGATATTAATAACCAAGGCTTTTACTAAATACTGGCTTCAGATAATTGTCAAAACCAGTTTACCATCTATTGATCCAGGAGCAACACCCTCCTTGCTATGTTTGTGATCAGCCATTCAGAACCAGTTCTTCAAAGCCCCCTTCCAACAGTGGAGTAAACTTGCTTCTTACTCAAGAACCAAACGGATCCTGGACTGAAGTTCCTGTTATGACCAGGCTATGCTGCTTGACATTTTGCACTCAAAAATGTAGGTATTTATAATAGGGAATCAAAAAGGTGGGGTTGGACTTTATTGCAGTAGCCTATACCTTAAATAAGGGGTCCTCAAACTAAGGCCCGAGGGCCGGATGTGGCCCTCCGAGGTCATTTACCCAGCCCTTGCTCAGGGTCAACCTAAGTCTGAAAAGATGTGAAAGCACACAACAGTCCTATCTCATCAGTTAAAAGCAGGCCCACTTCCCATTGAAATACTAATAGGTTTATATTTGTTAAAATTGTTCATTTTAATTACTGTATTGTTTTTAAGTGGGGTTTTTTTTTTTGCACTACAAATAAAGCATGTGCAGTGTGCATAGGAATACATTCATTTTTTTTCAAATTATAATCCAGCCCTCCAACAGTTTGAGGAACTGTGACCTGGCCCTCTGTTTAAAAAGTTTGAGGATCCTGCCTTAAATAAATGCAGCCCTCAATCCTGTGCATATCATGTGCAGTGTGCTTAGACAAAATTTAAAACCAACTGCAAGTAGTTTTGAAGATAATTTACAGGCAGTCTCCCAATTATGAACTAGATAGGTTCTGTAAGTTTGTTCCTAAATTGAATTTGTATGCAAGTTAGAAAAGGAAAATTTTTAAGTGTAACTTCAGCCAAAACTGTGTTTTTAGCTTTGGATAGCATAGGAAAGAATGTACACCCGTGGTGTGTGTTTTGCTGTCTGTGCTTCCTGTTCAGAAGATTTCACCTCACTTTGTGTATCTGTGATATTATGTGTTATCTAATGTGACCAACATATCTTACCTACTGCAGTGCAAAAAGCACTTTAAAAGGGGGATTCTGGTTCACATTCCCACTCTACACTTGCAATTAGACAGGAAGAAACTTCAAAGAAAGGCACACCACTTTTTGGAGTATTTTTTATTATCCATCTTGACCAATAAGATCAGGACAGGAAAGCAGACATATTGCTTGAAGCACTAAAAATCTGAAATAAAAGCTTTATTTACAGCGGGTGTAAGAGCTCTATGCCAATTTTTAACACTTTATACCCCAAAATAGCATTTACGAGAATACACTGAGAGCGTGTTTTCAAAAGGCATACTCCCCTTAATTACAAAAAAAAATATTAAGTTTCTCCAAAGAGCTCTAGCAATATACATAAAGCTATGCACTTCTGAGTCAATGAAGTGAGCAGGAAAAAGATTATCAAAAAGACAATACAATAAGTTCAGTAACCTCTCGGTGGTCCACATATACAAAGCTGTTAATCCTCCCCCTCCCCACACCCACTCGGTCTCTTTCCCAGGAGTCACATACTTACCAAAACTATTAGCAAGTATGATTTAAAAAGTCCCCAACAGCTAACTGTTTTGAATTCAGTTGCCGCTATCAACTGATCGCGATCTTGAGCGTGACCTCTGGCGATCGACAGAAGCCGGAGACTTTGATCGACTCGAAGACGCGCGTTTCTGGCTCTTTTCAGGAGCAGGAGATCTACTAACTGAACGGGACTTGCTACGGCTCCTGCTGCGGGACCGTGTATAAGACTTGCGGCTTCTGGAGCGAGATCGGCTGCGAGACCTTGATGAGCTCCTGCTGCGGGACCGAGACCTGCTCCTGGACCTACTAAAAAAGGCAATTGCCCATTTTAGATTGAATTCAATACATAGGCATTTATCTCTGATCACTCGTGCTCAAGCCAAGTATTGCTGAAATGGAATTCTTACCTATGTCTTTTGCTGCCTTCAATCAGTTTGATTTTTCTTCCATTTATCTCTTTGCCAGAAAGCTTTTCAATAGCATTCTTGAGATCACTGTAAGAGGCAAACTCAACCACCCTAACAATAGAAAATATATATAAAAAAGTATCAACAGCAGGCTCTGAGCACTTTAACAAGATGCTTTTCCAGCAATTCCTCTCGTCCCCACACAAGCTTCACAATACAACTTATTTGTTATTCCCAACAAACTTACCCTTCATTTAATTTAGGCCTGTGTGCATCCGCAAAGGTTACTTCCCCAGCCTGTCTCATGAAGTCTTTGAGATCCTAGCACAAGAATAACCATGTTAGAAAAGGCAGCAGACAGCATTCTGGAGTATTAAAAAATTACTACTGCAAGAAAAGATGTTAAGAATTATAAAGTGGCAGATGCCACACTTGCAGATAAATCTGTATTTGATAGTTTACATCAGGGCACGAAATAAATGAAAACAGCATTGAGCTTTAGAGCAGAATGCTAGATTTTAACATTATGTTGTTTACTATACACTTTACATAACTGTCTTGCATTCAAAGTTTATTTGTAGGAAAGCATTCTGAGAAGTGTTATGATAAAAGAAGAGTACATTTATAAAACACCAGTTATTTTGTGCCCCATATGTCATTAAAAATATAGTTTACTTTACCTTCATTAACATTTCCCTAGGCTAGCCAAGCATCAAACTGCATTAAGCGACCGAAGATACCGTCATGGTACATGCCCGACTGGCTCTTCGCCAACCGTTTGAAGAATACTACCCAGCCGATGGAAGTATTTAACCGCACAGCCCTCCCTATTAGCAGACTACTGGCGGTTCCAGACATTCGCTACTCTTGTGAAGTTCCACCAAGGACCACTTCACTGCGATAGGATTCCAACGACCACCTAATGCGTATCTTTCAACTCTCTCGATCACGATCTCTTATTTCGAAGCTTTACAGGAGGTACTTCTCAACTTAGGACTCAGATCTCGTTAACGCTCGGGGATCGCTGCAACCCGGCACTTTAAGGGAGTGCTTCGATTACGTCTAGACCGGCAAACACAGATCTAGAGGTGGCCAACTGAAACACTGGAGGAGCTGACTGGATAAGTCAACCAGGCCCAACCAAGAGTGACCAAGACAGAACGATTAGGATAACCCTCAGGCACTCCTCGTCATAAGGCCAACGACACAGATATGCTGGCAAATAAAATGGATTTTTAAAGTGGTTAAAATGGATTTTGAAAACAAGGTAAAATTACATTTAAAATACTACTATTAATTCTATGAAAAAACTGCATTTAAACATTAAATATTAATAATTCTTGAAAACTTTGAAAAGTATTTTAAATTTAAGACATATACATTAGTTTTAGCTAAAAAAACATTTTAAATATTACACCCATTAAATGAAATGCAAGAGACAATGATGTTCAACAAACCTGCCAACTGACTCTGGATGACAAATTTTCTACAATGAGGCGATTTTCTGTCCTGACAGGAGGAGCATTTCTGAGGGGAATAAGAGACTTGGCTCAATACAAATGCTACTCAAGTATGAGTAAATTCCTCTAGCGCAAGTTCAGGCTGCAAGCACATGCATACCTTCTGTCATTGCGTGGGCGACGACTACTGAAACGATCAGAGTACCGGCCTCCTCTGCCTCTTCCACCTCTGGAGCGAGCCCTTGCATGTTCAATTGTAACCCTGAAAAAGAGACATCCATCAGTTTACATTCAATCACCAGGTTGCAAACAACAAGCAGTTCCCAAGTTACGAACAAGATAGGTTCTGTAGATATATAAGCCAGAACAGATACATTTTTTCAGTGTAACTCCAGCCAAATATGTCTTGTAGAAACAAGGACTACTGAGAAAGCTCCATAAGATACCATTTCCCCATCTCTTTCAGCAGTGGATTTCCCTTCCAAGGGGCAGACTTCTCACTTCCTGTTGTCTCAACCCCGTTCTTAACTATGGGTTGGTTGTAAACACAACCCATAGTCGGATTTACACCGTCCAACAGAAACAAAATCCCACTGCATAGTAAACTATTCTATAGTGTGCAAATAACCAAATATTCACCTTTCACTGCAGAGTTCTTTTCCATCCAGTTCATAGACTGCATCATCAGCATCCCTTGGATCTTCAAACTCCTGTAAAGGAAGAGATCATATTTTGCTTTGTATACTATTTATTTTATTTACAGCATTTTACCCCGCCCTTCTCAACACCCCCCCCCCCTCGGGGGGGACGGGGACTCAGAGCAGCTAGTGTAGATATACCGTGACACTGTAGAATTAATGCAGTCTGGCACCACTTCAGCTGCCATGGTTCAATTCTATGGAATCTTAGGAGCTGTAGTTTGGTGCGGCAGCAGCGCTCTTTGGCAGACTAAAGACTTTGTAAAATTACTGACCCCCAGCGTCCCATAGCCCTGAGCACATTATATGTGGTCTTATAATGTGGTATTGACCCACATTAATTCTACAGTGTACAGCCAGTCTGTGCTTCTTAGATTTTAGACCAGGTATGAGCAAACCCAGGCCTAGATGCAGCCCCTTGAGCTCTTTCCTCAGACCCTCCTCTCTCACAACATCCTATCCTCCCTTCTCTTTCCGTCTTCTCCCCCCCCCTTTGTCCTTTCTTCTTTCCTCCCTCCTTCCCTCTCTTTCTCCTTAGTTTCCTTTTGTCTTTCCTTCCCTCTTTCCTCCCCCTCCCTTTTTTCTTTCCACCCACCCTGCTCTTCGTCCCTTGTTTTTCCTTTCTCCCACCTTCCCTCCATTTCTCCCACCATCCTCCCTTTCCACCCTTTCATCCTTCCTTCCTCCTCTCTCTCTTTCTCCCTCCCTTTCACCCTTCCATCTTTCTCTTCCTCCTGGAGGATGTTTAGCTAGGAGAAGGTAGAGCGGGAACATGAGGACCATGTTTCAAGATGTAAAAGGGTGTCCCACTGAGGAGGAAGAAAACCAACTTTCTGCTGCTCTAGAGACCAGGGCACAAAGGAGAAATGGTTTCAAATGGCAGATTCCACTGAAAAGATTAGGAAGAACTTTCTGAGAGTAAGAGCTGTTGGGGAGTGGCATAGGCTGCCTTGGAGCATGGTGGAGTCTCCTTTTTTATTCCTGATTTCATGGATGAGACCTGATGGATTTGTTATATTGATGTACTGATGCTGATGTTTAATGAGTTGTGATGCTATTGCTTTTAAATGCCTAATGATTTTGTATTGTGTATACCTAAACTGTTCTAAACCGCTGAGTCACCTAAGGGCCGAGAAGAGCGGTATACAAATAAATACATAAATACATAAATATTAATAATTTTTATTATTTTATCATAGTTAATACATTTGTTGTACATTTGTTTTACAGCAGATACATATTATTCAATACAACCTAACATACTTTGGCATCTAGTATTATTATTCTGCTTAGACATATTTTCTATTCCTCACCACTGTGCTCCCCCCCCCCCATCTTGCATGGTGGAGTCTCCTAATGTGGAGGCTTTTCCACGAGAATATTTTGATTGTGCCTTCTTGCAAGGCAGGGGGTTGGACTGGATGGCCAATGGAGGTCTCTTCCAACTCTATAATTTTATGTCAGGAATAGGCAATATGGTGGATATATTTTTTCTAGCGGATATACTTTTTCTCTTCCGTCGGCCATCTCATCCTGACCAAGACCAACCCTTTTGGGATCCAAATGTTTCCCCGTCTTTCCTTCACTTTCTGCCTCCGAAAGAGAAAAGAAAGGAGAAGAATGGGCAAGGAGGGGGCCCAGCTCCGGGTCACCATGCGGCCCCCAAGTTGGAAAGTTTGCCCAGGCCTGTTTTAGACCAAAGGTTTAAAAGCCCCCAAAATTTCCAACCACCTGCTATAAAAGCGTCCAGCGAACGCAGGCCCCATTTCAGAGCGAGGCCTTAAGGCCCACTTACCACAAAGCCAAATCCTCTTTTCAGATCAATGTCCCGGATCCGTCCGTATCCCTTGAAAAACCTCTCCACGTCCTTCTCCCGGGCGGCAGGATTCAGCCTTCCGATAAATACCCGACAGCCACTCATGATGCCGCTCCAGATGGACCACCAGCTGCAAAAGGCACCGAGACTTAAGAGGACGCCTCTCTCCTAATGGATTTCAGTCCCTGGAAAAGCGAATGCGCCAGGCAAGATGGCCGCCGGAAAAGTAGGTCACTGGCGCTGCCTTCTCTGCCGCAGTCCCGGCCCCGCCCCTCCCGCCGCAGTCTGACGTCACCACAGGCATGGCGCCAAGCTGGCCCCGCCCCCAAGATGGCCCCGCCTCTCGCTGGACCAATCGGAACGCGCCACATCCACCCCGCCCTGCGCCTCCGCATTGAGTCGAATGCCATCTGTGGACGAGGCGCGCATGCGCTCTGCAGCCGCCCCAACCAGAATTTCAACCGACACCATCCGCGGACAAAATGGCGGCCGGGCCGCACCCAACCGTCGCGGAGCCGACATTACACGGCTCTCTTTCGCCACTTCATTAGGAGGCAAACCCTCTCCCCATCATTATAAGCAATTCCTCCCACTCGTATTTTCTATACATAAATTTCCTCCCCCTCGAAGCCGGACTAATGATAAATTTCCACAAACCTGCTCTTTCGACCTTCCGTTTTTGATGACTTTCGCCGAAACCTCAAGACGAGACGGGGGGAACAGAGCTCAAAGCTCGACCCTTCCTCACCGACGGCGGAGTCACAACTAACACGCAGCCTCCCCAAGAGCGCCACAAAATGGAAGCCGCGCTCACGTGACCGAGGGGCACGTGACGACCTTCCGGCGCCGCTATTGGTGGGGGGAAATCGGACAGCGGCGCCGAGCCACGCCCTGAAGGGACTGCTGCTCTCTGCGCCTGCGCAGTCGTGGCCTCAGTGTATTCCCTTCCCCCACCCCGTGCAGTTATGCTTTCCCACAACACAGGCTAGAAAAGATGGAAGACGTTCTCTGAGCCCTTTTTGGGGCCTAAGTCAGCTCCTCCGCCACAGACACCTTGCACAACTCGCCACTTTGCAGGTTGGTTGTAGAACAGGCCTGGGCAAACTTGGGCCCTCCTTCCAGGTATTTTGGACTTCAACTCCCACCATTCCTCACAGCCTCAGGCCCCTTCCTTTTCCTCTTCAGCCGCTTAAGCGGCTGAGGGGGAAAAGGAAAGGGCCTGAGGCTGTGAGGAATGGTGGGAGTTGAAGTCCAAAACTCCTGGAGGGCCCAAGTTTGCTTAGGCCTGTTTTAGAGTATTTAAGACTTTGATGAGTAACTGAAATTAGAAAACGGTGTTGTTTGAACTGAGAGCACATCAGGAGAAAAGTTGCCTTTTGGAGTAATAATAATAATTATAATTTTATATATATATATATATATATATATATATATATATATATATATATGTAATCTTCGTTTGTGGGATTAACATAACTCAAAAACCACTGAGGGAATTGACATCAAATTTGGACACAATACACCTAACACGGCAACGCGTGAATATCCCTCACAAAACACTGAAAAAAACAGAAAAGCCAAAAAAAAAAAACATGCATTACAACACATGTGCAAAAGCACATATATACACAACACAAAACGCGTATACACAGACTGGGCCACAGCAATGCATGGCAGGGGACGGTGTGTATGTATGTATGTATGTATGTATGGTCCAAACGCTTGGCAGGGGAGGGCTAGTATATATATAATAAGTCGAAATACATAATGTTGGTTGGTTGGTACCACAAAGGCTCCTACATGGATCTAAACTGAACTTGGCAAACATAGCCTTGGTTTGTTGTGAGTTTGCTGGGCTGTATGGCCATGTTTCAGAAGCATAGCCAGACAGCCCGGAAAACTCATAACAAACCATTGATTCTGGCCATGAAGACATTAAACGTAGTCTTCATTATCCAACTTAATTAGGGAATTTGAACTAAAACAAATCCACCCCTTTCAGGTCAGGAGCTGCGAGGAAAGAAAAGGAGCAAAGTGGCTTGACTGTTGCTAGGTTGGTTTGTTTTTTCGTGTCAGGAGCAACTTGAGAAACTGCAAGAGAGAGAATTGGCCATCTGCAAGGATGTTGCCCCAGGAACGCCTGGATGTTTTGATTTTTTACCATCCTTGTGGGAGGCTTCTCTCATGTCCCTGCATGGGGACCTGGTGCTGATAGAAGGAGCTCATCCACGCTCTCCCCAAATTCAAACCTGCAGCCTGTCGGTCTTCAGTCCTGCCGGCACAAGGATTTAACCCATTATCCCATTGGGAGCTCCTGTTGCTAGGTGAAGTGGCCCTCTGTGGTGACACTGGGATAGAAATGGAGCGCAGGGGATTGGTTGCTGCTAAGGGACATGTTTGAGGAGAAGAGAGGGAGGAGAGAAAAGGAAAAGAGGGAAAGGGGGAGAAAGGAAAAGGAAGAAAATGCAAGTATGGAAGGAAGGGAGAAGAAAGGAAGAAAAATGGGTGAAGGAAGGGGGGAAGACAAAAGAGAAATGAAAGAAGGGAAGGACCGGGATTGTGGCGCAGCTGGCTGAGTGTCAGCTGCATTAAGATCACTCTGACCAAAAGGTCATGAGTTCGAAGCCAGCCCGGGCTGGAGTGGGTGTCCAGCCATTATGTAGCCCGTTGTCGACCTTTGCAACCCGAAAGACAGTTGCATCTGTCAAGTAGGAAAATAAGGTACCACCTTGTGTGGGAGGCTAAATTTAACTAATTTATGAGGCCATAAAGAAAAAAGACTCTGGGGAATGTGGAATGCGGAAGAACTTCATCGGTGTCGCTGATGGAGGATGAAAAGCAGCAGCTCCCCTGGCGGCCAGAAAAAAGTTAAATAGCCTCGGTGTATTTGTGTGTTAAACGTTGTTTGTCAAACTGGCATTGAATGTTTGCCATATATGTGTTGACTGTAATCCGCCCTGAGTCCCCTGCGGGGTGAGAAGGGCGGAATATAAGAACTGTAAATAAATAATAAATAAATAAATAAATACATTTCTTAAAAAATTAAAAGAATGTTTTTGAGTTCATGACTTCACAGGCTAATGACCTGTTTCTATCAGATGCATCTTTCACAATCCCTGGATACACATTTTAATTGTTAACCATATTCCTTGGATTCAGAAGAAATAAAAAAGGAACATCTCAATCGTTGTTGAAATAAGTCATATATAAGCTTCTGCCATCTCTCCACACCACCCTTTTGGTGGTATTTCTCCACTGAGATTCCAGAGACATTGTCCTGAAGGCATGGAGTTACAACACAGCCGGGGAGCAAGAGCCTGGGTGGGAAGGGACTCAGGGACCTGCGGCAAAACAATATGGTGTTGGCAGCTGTGCTGCATCGGATCCCTTCTGATCTCAGCAGCCAAACAGTTTTTATTTTGTACTTGCAGCCACGTATTTAAAAAGCTGCAAGAAATAGGATCTTATATTTGTGTGGTTCTTTCATCATTGCCAGACAAGGCCGACTTGTTCATCGAAATGGAAATAGAAATAGTCATCATATGACAGGGATACCAAGGTTCATATCACACAACTCATAGTGCGGTATTCCAGTTTAACTGTAATAGCAGCATCCTGTGGAGTTCTGGGATTTGTAGTTTAGTGAGGCCAATTGCTCTCTGGATGAGAATCCTAAGCGTCCTTCCCTAAAGGGCAAATCCCAGGATCCCTAAGAATGTTGCCTTGACGGGCAAAGTAGATTATTATGATCTAAGAGCAAATGTGGAGGTGGTTCTCTCCAGCTGATGGGATGTGGGAGAGGCAAAAAGCATTTGAAAGCAGAACTGGGGCTGAATCCATTCAAATTAGGTACTCATTAACACAATCTGGTGACAAATTTGTCCTTGCATTTCTAGCACTAGTTCAAAACGACTTCAAAGAACCAAAGTGAGGCTCCATTAAAAAGGAAAATAAAAAATAAAAACAAAGGAGGCATGTGGCTCCAAGTTCACATCTTTGCACTCTATTATTTGGAGCCATGTTTACATAATAGGTCCTGATGGGATGGGGATCCGACCTTTTGCTTGTTTTCTTGTTCATTCTACTTCATAAATCACTGTGTAGTGCTGTGCTTTATAAATAATAATCATATCATGTGCAAGAGTAATCACTGTTTTGACTCATTGTGAGGGAATTTTCACATATCTCATGCAGAAAAATATAAATATATTGAACTCTGCCAGCACCTAGCAACTGGTGCGTCATAAATCCAATTTGGATTCTGAATGGTGATTGTTGTTTAACAGATACATGTCTCCCTTATTGCCCATCATTCCTTGCGTTTTTCTCTCTCCTTCCATTCTTCTCTTTGACCTGTTCCTTTCATGAGGAAGAGAAATATGTAGAACTCAAGTTGAGCTTGTAACAATCCTTTAAAAAAACTTGAACTTCTGTAACCTCTGGGAGTTATAGTTCAAACACATTTTCCAAGTTCTGGCCTAAATTTATCATTGCATCTGTCAGTTTCAGGAAGGAGCTATGTGTCATCTTCAAGATGCTGGGCGTGCCATTCTCAGCATAGTTAATAATGAGGGCGGATGGGAGAAGCAATACTATAATTCCCGGAAGGCCACAGATTATCTGTCACTACTCCCCTCCATTTAGATGTGACAGGTTAGTGAGGAAACAGCAGTTCCTTGAGATGCATTCTCTGATATATAATTTCCTTCATAGGACAAACACAATTTCTTTACTCTGATTAAGGTCCCCCTCCACCCCCTCCACCCCATGGGGAAGGCAATGGCAAACCACTCCAGTATCCTTGCCAAGAAAACTAAATGGACCAGTACAACCAGAGATATGTCGGTATGCCATTGGAAGATGGGACTCCCAGGTCGGAAGATGGCCAAAATGCTACTAGGGAGGAGCAGAGGATAAGTTCAACTAGCCCCAGATGTGATGACGCAGCTAGCTCAAAGCCGAAAGGAAGGCTAGCGGCCGACGGTACTGGAGGTGAACGACGAATCCGATGCTCTAAAGATCAACACACCATAGGAACCTGGAATGTAAGATCTATGAGCCAGGGCAAATTGGATGTTGTTATTGGTGAGATGTCAAGACTAAAGATGGACATTCTGGGGGTCAGCGAACTGAAATGGACTGGAATGGGCCACTTCACATCAGATGACCACCAGATCTACTACTGCGGACAAGAGGAACATCGAAGAAATGGAGTAGCCTTCATAATTAATAAGAAATTAGCTAAAGCGGGGCTTGGATACAACCCAAAAAATGACAGAATGATTTCAATTCGAGTGCAAGGAAAGCCTTTCAACATTACAGTGATCCAAATATATGCCCCAACCACAGCTGCTGAAGAAGCAGAAGTAGATCAGTTTTATGAGGATCTGCAGGACCTCCTGGATAATACACCAAAAAGAGACATTATTTTCATTACAGGAGACTGGAATGCCAAGGTGGGAAGTCAAATGACAACTGGGATCACAGGCAAGCATGGTCTGGGAGAACAAAATGAAGCGGGACGCAGGCTGATAGAATTTTGCCAGGAAAACTCACTGTGTATAACGAATACTCTCTTCCAACAACCTAAAAGACGGCTTTATACATGGACTCACCAGATGGTCAACACCGAAATCAGATTGACTACATCCTTTGCAGCCAAAGGTGGCGGATATCCATCCAGTCGGTGAAAACAAGACCTGGGGCTGACTGTAGCTCAGATCACGAACTTCTTATTGCTCAATTTAGAATAAAACTAAAGAGATCAGGGAAAATACACAGACCAGTTAGATATGATCTCAC